GGCTGCTGCCACACCTTTTGTGGTGGCCTCGACAGCAGGCTGCAAAATGCCAATTCCGAATATTGAATTTACGATGCCTAATTATGAAATGGAGTGGATTCCATATTCTAGTATGTCTCTTGCTCTAACAGTATATGAGAAGGATTTGTTAGTTTGGCCCCAGCGTAAGAATGTCTCCTTCCTGGACATGGGTTACCACATGCAGCGTTCTCTAAAAGAGCACTGCGGATACAGACTTCTTGGGTGGTACCGCCCAGAGGTAATAAAAAGATGATAGTGTAACTGAAAGGTTCAAGTTGCACACTACTTCACTCACGGGATATTCTCTAGAAGTATACACTTTCAATTTTGATTTGCTTTCATGTCCTCATCATAGGGCATTCATTTCTTCAGACAACATACTGCTGATAAGTAGTAAAATTTCGGCACTGTTTGTTTTGGTATTGTTTCATCAGGTGGTTTCATTGATATATCAGATGATGCAATACTAGTTGGTTGAAACAGAAAACATTCCTCATTCATAGATGCAATGCATACGGTAGATGTAAATGCATTACCATCTGCTAGTTAGGGCAGTAGAATTCATATTCAGTGTTTTGACGTTCCTCGTCGTCCATTCCAACCTGAATCAGAGTTAGAAGCACTCCCATCATTTTTTTACTGACGAGCTGCTAATGGAATTGATGACTGCAACTAATGCATATGCAGGTATAAAACTCAGCGGGAAGGCCTTTTCAAACAATTCTGTCTGGTTTGAAAGAAAGGATGTAACTCTTGTTGAGATGAAGGCCTATTTAGGTGTTATTATGAATTTGGCAATGAATGACAAGCCAGACGTAATTTTTTTTTTAGTCGGAATTGATTGTCCAGTATTGTCCATTTTTTCCTGGCGACGTTTTTTTGCAAATCCACTGAATGTTTCACATGAAGTCGCATGAACCCGCAACTGCTCCAATCGCCAGAGGAGGAAGAGTACATCACTTCGTGAACTATCTTCAAAAGATATGCCTTGAATTGTTTACTCCGAGAAGAAAGGTTGCAGTTGAAGAAAGCACAGTGCGATATAAGGGACGAATAATTTTCAAAACTTACAATCCTCAAAAGTCCACCAAATGAGGCATGCGAGTCTACGTGCTATCGGACTGTGATACTGGCTACATCTCCTGCTTCGAACCGTATTTCGGGCAGTCAACAGCTGATGCATTACCAAGGCCTGGAGAGAAGTTTACTACCTGAATTGTAAAACATTTGGTGGATCAGCTGGCAACTCAAACTTAAGGGACATGGATATCACAGTGGCGGTGACGCTTTTAGAAGAGGGAATGCATATAACTGGAACCATTCAAAAAAATCGTAAAGGTCTTCCAGAGCAGGGCTTCCCAAACTAGGGGCCGCGAAACGAATTTCAGGGACCGCAAAGAGAACACCAATTTTACACAAAGAACTCTATCTGTTGTACTTTTTCAGACTCTTGATTCCAAAAACAAATATTTAAAATTGTTCGAAAATAATACTAGGGCTTATTTGTCAGGAATGTAGAGAATAACGAAATATGAAAATACGTATTGTGTCAATAAAAACCTTTATTGCAATAAGTTTAATATAAACGAACAAACATAACCTAACGACATTCAGTGAAATCATATTTAATGGACCATGGTAGAAAAGCCTGCTTTATACAAATAAAATATCGCAGAGGGGATGGGAGTTCGGAACGCTTTTTGAACCGAGGAAAAATAATCTTTATCTACAGAAAACCGGATTTTCAGAAATAAACCTCTTTGTTATAACACCATCACAGGTAAGATCGATTCGATCTTACTTTTTTTAGTAAAAGTAGAAGATATGGGTTGGTTGAAAGGTTCACGAATAACGACGCACTTCGAGAGCCACGGGACTAAGTCAAAAAAAAAATTGCGCTTCAGACTAAGTCTATTTTCGAGGGGGGCGCTTATATTTTAATCATTTTTACAATTAAGGCTTGTTCTTATTTTCGGGGAAACACGGTTCAATCGTCGAGTTTGCATAACAATGAATATTCTGATCGTAGGACCCGATTTGCTAAGTGCGCCTCGAAAATTAGGATATTTGTTTTAAATATTAACTAATATATGCGATTGAATACTTCACATATTTCATTTATTCTAAATGTGGTATTGTTTCTCAATATTGTAAATGAGGGTATATGAATCAAATTCACTTTACCGTTCTATGTTGATGAAAATCTCAATAATTTTCATCTTAATCTACGTCATCGCGCCAACCTGGTGCCAAGATGAAACAGTGTTTCACTTCTCACCCAAGCCGGGTTGCCAGATTGCACAATGTGATCCGGTTGCTGTAGGATGGGATAGACCAGGTTTCAACATCGATAAACATCTGCATGACAAAGAGTTTCCGATTACATGCAAATCTAAGAATGTGTCATATTTGCTAACTGTAAAAATGATGAATAAAGAGGGCAAATTAATATTGAAGACTTGGGACTTCATGCAGAATATTTTACAATCCATTGGTGATAAAATGATGTTACTTTATGGAGGATGCTTCGCATGCATGCCATGTCCGGTGTGACCCTGGTGATTGCAATATCATTTTTTGTGCGGACTGCAAAGTCACACCAAGCTGCTCCTGATACCAGAAGTTGGCCCTGCACTTAGTAGTAACTGTGGTGTGTGATAAATGATTAAGTAACTGTGACCCACACTCTTCTGTTGCGCGATAAAAATATAATTTTTGACCCATTCCATGAAAAAGGTTCGCCATCCCTGGTCTATTGTAATGGCGACCATGCATATTACTATTAATGGAACCTGGAGCAACAACACGGGATTCTATTAATATATCGGATACACCAGCGTCAGATTTAGGTACACAGATGTTCCATGTCATACGCGTTTATTGTAAAACGGTTGACTGTAAATAAAATAATCAATAAACAATGACAAGATGAGGGCGGAAAGAAATGCATAACCAGAAGTTAATAGAAAATAAACTTACATATGATACGCTCCAAAGCCCTAAGTTGACAAGAAACTCAGTTCTACCTAACGAGACCAAATGCCACCCACACGCTAAGTCATTGAAACAGATAATGCGAAACCACACCACTAAACCCTAAACAAGAACGACCTGCGACGACGCGTAAAGTCGAGATGCAACAGCCACGCGTGACACGTCAGATGCAGTAAAGCCCGCGAAACTCGCGTCAAAACAGAAAAGCAATTATCGATAAAAATTAGACAGTCGAACACAAGGAAGAACAGCGTTCAAAATATAATCAACTGAAAAGAAACTTTTTTCGCCGACAACCAGAGCTTTCGTATCGTTTTCCAATTTCTGAAAGAAATGACATGCATGTATGGAACTCTCTAAGTTGCAAAACCAATCTTTTGTAGAAAAGTGGATTGCTCCAACGTTTTTCCTGGGCCTTAGCGTATATGGTCTAATCAAATACCACCACAACAGAGTGTAAGTCAAGTTCATCAGCAATAGCAACGCTTTTTTCGAGTACTGTATGTAATAAAATTCCATTTGTAATATGTGTCGTTCCTTTTCCAGATTTTGTCTCTTCATTGAAATCATTATTGTCCCAAACAATTGTTGACGGAATGCGCGGTAGAAACCCATCGGGAACAATCGTGTGTTTTTGCAGTTGCAATTCGGTCAATGCAGTGTCATGCTCTAGCTAGCACAACAGAATGGGATGCCGAGTGACCGAAGCCGTGGAGCAACTCTATAAGTCGGGAAGAACCGGTTCAATGTAGGGCTGGGCATTTTCGAATACCTTGTGATTTCAGAATCGAATATTTTTTTCGAATCTAATCTCGAAAATATATAATCGTAAGCGACTTTTTTGTTGTAATTGGTCCTGCCAACAAATGAATTACCGAAAACATACAATACATCACTCAGATATGTTACTGAGCGTTCACACACAATAAGAAACACATTTTATCAATAATGTGTTGCGTTGAAAATATATGACTTCAAGTGGGGGAATTCACCCGGACCATTGACAAAGAGTAAAAACAAGATGGAATTTACTATTCGATTCGAAATGCCCAGCCCTAGTCCAATGCCTAACGGTCATTCCCAACGCTAAGGGTGGAGATCAAAAAGGTAGTTTAACCTCGAATCTGAGTTTAACTTTGGATCGGCGGTTTAAGTCCTGATCAAAAAGGTGGTTTAACTTTCTGTGACCTAAATCTCGACTTAAAATCAGCGATTTTTTAAACCTGGTCTGGAGGTGGTTTAACTCGGTTTGTCGAGTGCATTTGGATTGCGGCGCTTGTCGTGTTGGATGTTATCGCTTACCGTACAATCTATATTGTATTCTGGGGCGACAAAATGAGTAGCAGGGAGCTCTGTTCAAGCGTCACGACGAATAAATAATTGTATACATGTACCACGAGGCTGCGATATGTAGCATTTGCGGTGGTGCTGTACCCACCGTACTACGCCCGAACAAAACTATTTACAACGTGGAATTGGGCTATACTATAATAAATCTAGTAGGGTAAATACATACCTGGCGTATTGATATATTTCTGTAATTGCGTTTTTTTCACTTTTCTTAGCAGTTTTTGTGAAGATTTATTTTAGCTTAGATTGTAGACTACAGTTGTATCAGTAGTCTATTGCTATATGGGTTCTTGTCATAATCAGACATAGGGCCCAGTATTTTAGTATAGTTTCGTTGGTAAGCAGTTGCGCAGGGTTCCATTACATTTGAACCCACGTACATTTGAACCCATGGCAATTGCACCTATGAAATTTTTTTTGTTTTTCGGATAGTTGAACTCATACTAACCCTAACCCATGGGTTGTAGCACCCGCATATAGATTGAACCCGTGGATATACACATGGGTTCAAATGTACGTGGGTTCAAATGTACGGTCACCGTTGCGCAGTGGTACTGTCGAACAGATACTCTTGGTCCTAATACAGTATTCTAAACTTCGAAATGTTTTAACAAAAATGATATATTTTCAGATATTTAGATCTACCAGTGCCCAAAAGATTTCTTTTGGTTATATTTTGTGTATGAGCAGAACTGAGATTTACCTACGATATCGATGTATCACTACTGCACTGTGCCCCGGTGTAGGCTATGTATCTTGTCATCGGCTAATTCACAAGTCTGCGAGTTCCCGAAGTTGGATCAAAAAAACAGGCAAGAAGCGAATAGATAGCAGAAGGTTAGCTGGATATTTTGATATACACCAATGTAAAATCATATTGCATTATATTGGTATGCTGTATGCACAGATGTACGATATTTATGGTATTAATGATTCTGACTCTTGCTATATAAAATGAAACTAGAATATTGTAGTACCATGCACATGAATTTCACCAAATGCTAGAATGAGTATATTGATAACTATATATTGCCAACAACTTATCATGAATGCAATGGTTCATGCTATCATAACTATTTCTTTAATGTAACAATGTTTTCTGATTTTTCATTTATTTCTACAGCTGTTTCAAGTCAAGTAAGCTGTCTGAGTGCCATGATTATGATCAATTTCATCAGCTCTATTGGAAGAGCAAATTTGTGAGTTTGTCACTATTTAAATGCCTTATTATCTGTATGTAAACTGTCCTAAATTTATGTTCGCAATTTTCAGTAAAAATAGGAGCTTCTTTAGTACCAGCTGTTAAATGAAAATTATTTTTGGTTTGTGTGTATAATCTGTATTATTCGTATAATGTGAGGATACTTTTATCAACCAAATGCTTAAGGTAAATTTCTTATTGGTATTGTCACAGATATGTTCAAGTAACCGAGATGTGACAAACTTTTCAAAATCATTCCCATCAGTCATTTCTTGTTACATGAGGCAAAACTAGTGTCACATGATTTTAGAGTAGAGCAAAGTTGTTCGACATGCAATCACAATCGAAGACAAAAGAGCTATCATTTAATATCTGAAAACTAAAAATACTCTACTGTTTTACTTTTCCAAATTCATATAATTAAATATACATTGGATTTTATGTAATTCAAAAATATCATTTCAGAATACAAAAAAATCTGTACAAATTGGAATATAAATTATTTGGTTTTAGTCATTGCCTAGGTCGAATTTGCTTCTTTAATATCTAGCGCACTTCATCAATATACTATATTTAACCCTGTATTTTTATTTATATTGTTCAGGTCATAAAGACAAACAACTGTCATGGATAGGATTATAGTAAAAGTGTTGTTAAGTCAAGGTTGCAGCAGTGCCTTATTCTACGCCTTCGTATCCAACAAATATGTGGAACCCGCCTTTGTGTCCAACAAATATGTGGAACCCGGTTAACTTAAGCTTAACAAACAAATAATTTTTGCATGCTAAAACATGCAAGGAAATATAGTTATGTCAATTTTTCGTCACTTGGCGAGTCTTCCGCAGAAGAAATAAATAAAACTTTTAAATAGCAACGAAAGCAACAACTATGATTGCACCTGTGTCTGTGTGCATTACGTTGACACATTCCTGTCTCAAAGCTGTAGAGCCAAGCACTCTCCCGAATTGATTCTATACTTTTTCCATTTCTTGAATGTCAGTACATTTTAGCAGTCATTTGAACAAATGAATATTAGTTATTTTTGCAATACAAATTTTCAAAATAATAAAATGTTAAATATGTAGAAGCCTGTGGCCCAGAACTTGCCAGGGATAGGTTTTCAGCTGAAGTGTGTTCATTTCGTCTGTTTTCACTCTAAGTAGGATGTGGGTTCTATAACTTAGATCTGTTTGTTGTTACGCTGAGGTTTTAGGAGAAAAATATTAGATTCAATCGGTGTTGTAGACCAGGGTCGTCCAACTCGTGACATTGCCCCTGTTAGGGGTACGACTAGAGGCATTGATTTTTCGGGAGCTGTGATAAAAATGATCATGCGTCTTGTCTTTGGCTAAACTTTCGGGAATAACCACTGATGGCGCCCCGTCGATGGTTGGAAAACAACAGTTTTATTGGTCTAATAGTTGTGAAAGTTTGATGTGAGGGTATTTTTTTATTATTAACCTGTAGTAGTGTAGCAAAACTAGATCATAATTACCATGTCAAGTGGCCCGCGCAATTATTAATTAATCACACGTGGCACTTCGACCAAAAAGGTTGGCCTACCCTGTTGTAGACTGTACCAGTAGTGGGAAAAATTCTATTTATGATAAATTGTTATTATTTTGGGTAATGCGCGTCAGCTCTTCGTAGTTCTGCCGCCCAGCTTGTTTCGCTTCGGCAAAATCAACGAAATACATCAAATACCACCTTTGCAATGAGAGCAAATTACAACAAAATTGGGTTCGCGTTGTCATCGTCATGGGAATACGGGGTCAAAGAGCGACATGCACGACGTTTTGATGAAATGCCTCGAGGCGTCGGACTTGAACCAGGATTAGTTACCGGTAAGTAACCGCTAAACTAGGTTTTTGATCTCCGGTTAACTTTCGAAGTTAAACCGAGTTTAACTAATCCGAGATTAGTCTTAATCCAGGTTTAAAAGTTAAGTGAGGTTTTTGATCTCCACCCTAAGTGTTTCGGTGTTTGCTTTCTACCCTTTGAAGCCAGATATATGACATCATGGGCAAGCGAAACTAACCTTCTGTTATAGAATTCCGAGACATTGAGGAATCCTTCGTTGCTAATATCTTCACTTGCTCCTACTACCCATGCTATAAAGTTCTACTGAGATGCTTTTCTGTCAATTATGTTTAAAAGTTCGTTATGTTCGTAAAGTTCGAAATTAGATCTTAGAGAGAGCCCGAGAATTAGAGCCCGGTCTTTTCACATCCTTCGTAATTTTTAATTATATTTTTCAGGAAAACGGCAGATCTATACATGTCTCGTTTGACTTCGGATATAAAGTCGACTTGAGATGTTTCATCGTAATGATAGTCATTTCCATTTAATTCCAAACTTTCCAAATATTCTGCGATGTGTTTTTTGCTTTCCGGTAAATACACAATTTCGCTTTTTCTGCGCATTGACGGTAGTCAGCTTTTGTTTGAAATATGACGTTTGTAGGTCACTATCTATGTGCAGGCCATCCTTGGCGACAAATTCAACGAATAACTGCTTCAATTTAATGAGTGTAATTGGATTTCCATTTTCTATTATGATGGAATCAACAACAGATGTGCAAAAGTTTTCAAAATGTTTGGTGTATACATTTTCGTAATTGATATTTGACAAAGCTATTAATTTGACTGTTAATATTTTTATTCTTTATAGCATGACGGGTGATATTGCACTTCGATCGCTACCAAGACTCTATTTCTGATTTGCATCAATACAGACTCAGCGTTTCTTGCCAGGGCAGCTTCATAGAAAAGACCACCTGAAATAAAATATTGCCCACATCAGTATGGAACTAAAATGAGAAATCTCTCTCGAACTTTTAACTTAAAATCATGTAATACATGTGCGTTGCTATACTAAACAAATGCTACAACATCAATAACTAAACTGATATGTTATTCGAATAAGTATAAGTTTATTTCGACTCCATAATCAGCATAACAATACATTTGACAGATAAAAACAAATAAATAAAAACTGATTATGAAATCAGGGGAGCAAACAAAACCTTAGATAAGGTTTATAACGTACAAAATATAAGATGGAAGGTTTTGCCAAGAGGAAGTGGTACGTGTTTACTCACCTAAAATTATTAAGTTATTTCACACACGCTCACATGCACCCACCAGCCACACAGAAGTTATTTAAGTAAGAATAAAACACGATAAATTTAGGGTATACTATACAGTAAACAAAAAAATAAACAAATAAATACTAGAAAAAAAAAATTATTTGCCACACCGTATTGATATTTTTGTAATGGTTGCCATTGCCAAATTGATCGATCTTCTAATCGTTAATTAAAATATAAAAGGAAGATTCTATTGAAAACATATTGCCAAGCTGATTATAGTTGGAGTCAAATGCCAAGTTGCCAGAATTGGGTGCATGTGACCATTTCATTCCCCAAATTAGAGCCTATTATTGCCAAATTATAGTCCAGATTGTAATAAGTAATTAAAGTTACCGGTAACAGTAAAATTACTATAATTAAGTAAAGTAGGATGTGGAAATAAATTGGTTACAAGGGGTGTAAGTGAGGTTTTTCATTCTTGGGTATTGATTTCAGAGAAGGATATAGGAATAAGGTTAGTATTTCACAGGATATCGGAGTCTTTTTTTGATTTTTTCCTTATGTGTTTTACTTCATTTAATCACTTTGAAGTAACCTGAAAAACAAAAAATAAAACCGCGAGTAGATGTTTCAATGATTGGGTGAAGGGGAACGCTCTGAACTATTTATTACAGGCAAAAAATAATTGTTTAATTAAATGGGATGTATTGTCATTATATAGCAATGGATAGATGATCTATGATGACATTCTGCGTGGGACAGAGAAAAATTTATCACACCATGCAAAAAACACACAAAATTTTACTATCTATACCTTGGCCAACAAGTCAACTCAAACACCATGCCTTAACATAAAATGCATGCATACATAAATGATATAAAAACCACATCCAATTACAATGACCCACAGCAAATTAAAATCTGAAGGGGAGAATCCAACATAGCTCTACTGCTCGCCTAGTTGCAATAATTAGTAACCTTGCAGGAACAATATTGTACTATCTACAATCCTTAGTTATACCACCACTCAAACATTAGACCAAGCGTGTATGATAAGGACATCACAGCTAGAAAACGATAAAAACACGAGCGTGAAGTGATAGAATGTGTGCAGTTATTTAAAGAAAATATCATCCGGGTACGTTAGCTACCTATATATTTAAAAAAAATATACTCATGCATGTCACAATACCATTTCTTTGGTGCTGGACTAGTTCTGGCCAAGTCATGGCAAGATATAACAATATTATTATAGCTGTTCAACATTTTCATTAAAACAATAATGTGCAAGTGTGGAGTGTCCCAAGTTTTTGTCATCGAATACCACCAGTAGTAATTTTTAATATTTGGAAACTAAATGAGACTTGACTTGTTTTTGAAAAGATTTTTTGGACTTTAATGTCTTCAAATTTAAGAGAAGAGAATTCCAAAGTTTGGGTCCAGTAAAAGACAAGGTATGCTGACTCAAGGATTTACTCATGAAAGGTACGAATAAATCAGAACTACTTCGGTTGGAGGTATTTTTGACCAGTATTTCATTAAAGCAATTGGGCAGCGCTGCCAGCGCATTATTATGGAAGTCGTGAGCTAGAGATAATATTTCAAATTTTATCATATCTTCAACCTTAAGTATATTTAGTGATTTGAAGTAAGAGTCTACACTTTCACGTTTTCTTTTACCAAAAACTATTCTTAAAAAATTATTACAAATACTCTGCAGTTTTGAGACAAGTGTTTTATTACCATGAAGCCAGACTGAACAACAATATCGAACATGGCTAAGTAGTAATGATTGAAACATTGCTAGTAGAGCTGATTGATCAACACACTGGGATACTTTGGCAGAAACTGCTAGGTTTCTTTTTGTTTTACCAATAACATGCATTATATCTGATTTCCATGACAGATTTTCATCAAAGATAACTCCTAGAAATTTTATTTCTTTCACTCTTTCAATTTCATTGCCATTGAGCAGTAGTTTTTTTGAACAACTCACACTTTTATGCTTGCTTGGATGGAATAATACAAATTTAGTTTTGTTAGCATTCAGAGATAATTTATTAACTAACATCCAGCTATGAATGTTGGTTAGTTCTTGGTTTGCAACTGTGAATAGATCTTCAAGGTTCTCCCCATGAAGAATCAAGTTAGTGTCATCAGCAAACATGATCGACTCAGAGGATTTCGGACACCTGGACATGTCATTAATGTATGCTAAAAAAATTAATGGGCCAAGTAAAGATCCTTAGGGAACTCCGTGCTTCATGACACAAATATTTGTAGAGAATGAGTTGTCATATTGCACAATTTGTTTTCTGTCTTGCAGGTAGCTCCTGATCCAACTGGATGGGACGCCTCTAATTCCATAGTGATAGAGCTTAAGAGGATGGAATGGTCAATGGTGTCAAAAGCTCTTATGATATCAAGAAATATTCCAATTGCATGTTGTTTGCATTCAAACGCATTGGTCAGTTTGTGTACCAAAACATTAGCAGCCATAGCAGTGGGGTGATGGTTGCGGAAACCAAATTGATGAGAGTGGAAAACATTGTTAGTTTCAAAGTAGTTTGACATTCTACTATACATTTTTTTTTCAAGAATCTTAGAAAATGACGGTAAAAGACTAATAGGTCTATAGTTTCCAAGATCTGAAACACTACCTTTTTTAAAGAGAGGAAGAACTTTGGATGTCTTGAAGCTTTCAATGAATAATCCACTAGATAGTGAAAGATTGAATATATATGTCAGGATATCAATAATATGTTCTGAAACATATTTCAATATTTTGAATGGAATACCATCGATTCCAAATCTTGACTTGGGCTTCATATCGCGTATGATATTTTTTATTTGTAATGATGTAGTTGGCCTTAAGAACATGGATGAGGATTTTTGCTTCCCAAGATATGAAATGTAATTTTTGTCACAGCCAGCTGGTTGTAGCATACAGTCGAGCAGGCTTTGTGCCACTTGGGAATAGTGTTCATTAAATTTATTTGCAGTTTGTGTATTCTTGCAATCAATTCCAAGCAAAGGACAAGAA